CCTGCCGCCTGACCACTTGCGTGTCGCAGTGCCGCCTTCTACCCGACAGAGCGAGCTGTCCCAGGCTCTCGACCGTGCAGTGGTCTCTCAGCTGCTGGCGCCTGCGCCGGGCCGTGAAGCCGCCCGTGCCCACCTCCGCCTCCTGGCCCTGCCGGGAGCCTGGCTCCACGCCCCGCCTAGCGAGGCTCTTGGGCTCCATGTCGATCGCGCCGCGCTTGTTCCGCATCATGACGCAACTTCGTCTCCGTCTGCCAATCATGCTTGCGGACACTGCATGCCCACTCTGCGATGGTGTGGCTGATAAGTTCGGTGACCATTCTCGCTGCTGCCCGTGCGGGGGGGACCGGGTGAAGCGCCACAACAGGCTTCGCTCGGTTCAAAAGGCGGTCCGTCTCTGCGGACGGGGTGTCGCCACTGCGGGCGGCAATGAGGCCACCCAGCGTCCGCCAGGTGGCAGCAGCAGTGGGGCCCCACCCTCCACTGCATGCTTCGGCGATGAGAGGCAGGAATTGCAGGCGCTCTGCAACACAATGACGTTCGGTCTGCAGATGGGCGCGCCTGTGTGCTTCATAGGTTTCGACGGCGGTGTCGGCAAGGATGCCGCCCCCGCGCAGGCCAGAGGTCACAGCGAGGTCGAAGGCGGCAGGGCCGTGGAGGCCCCACTGCACAACCCAGACGTCTGCGGGACGGCGCTGGCCAGCGCCGCGGGCAGCCACGTCACCTACATCCTCGTCAGGTCGTAAGGGCAGCAGGCCGGGCTTCTCAACCTCGACACCAAGCGCAGAGCCTTGCCATTGCACTTCAGCGCGAAAATGCTCGCGCTGTCCTCCGGCGGCTAGGCCAGGGGCCTGATGCTGCCTTCCCCTTTGCAGAGCCTTGAGAGCATCTCTTCTCAGCTTCCTCTTGCCCGCCAGCACTGCCATCACTGCCTGCCCCTTGTCGTGCACAGCGTTACGGCCCCTTGCTTTGCACGCACGCATAGAATGGTGCTGGACGCAGGCCAACTATGCTGGGTGGCGGAGTTCTCCTGCTTACGGCCCATGCGTGTAGGGTGCGAGACGGGGTTGACGAACCTGCGTCACTTTTCGGGTGGCGGACGCAGTAGTTGTGTAGGCCCGTAAGTCTTAGTCCTAGCCGTGCTAGCCTCAGCCAATGCGCTGAAGACACTGAAGAGGAGCTTGCATGGCAAGTACTAGTAGCTGTATTTAGCTGGACGCATTGTTGGCGGCAGGTCGTTGCCCGTCAGAAGCTCGCCTTCCGACCCGAGAGGGTATTATTGTTGCATTAGTTCCAAAGTATGGGGACGAAGTCCCATCCATAACGGGGCCGCCAGAAAAGTGGAACGTAGGTATCCTCAATAGGGCTCCCACAGTACTGAGGGCTTTGGGCGTGACTTTAAAGGGGATGGTTTTCTCAAAGCAAAACACATTGATTCTCCATTTGTTGGAGCTCTGGTCCTGCTATGTTCCCTTCAGAACTGAGCAAGCTGGAGCGGACGGAGAACATGTTGATGTGATCAATCTTGAGATGAGTAGGACTTTTCGTTAGGAGATTATCGTCCACATCATAGAGTAAGATTGCATCCTCACTTTTAGCATAGAGAGGCATTATACCCAAAGTCTATCACCTTACTTGCGTCCTCAGCCCAAAGACGCACGTCGGCTAGGCTGGCAGCGCCTATGCGTTGGAGCACCTCCACGAGCGGCGCATTGTGTACAGGGACCTTCACAACAAAGCGATTGTTGGTGGCTGACAAGTTTGGCGTGAAGGGCTCGCATAACGCAGGGCATGTGCGGTACCCATACAACAGATAACATGGGCTGTGCAGTTGTGAGGTTTGGATCGTGCTGGGCTTCTCAGATTCTGCAGCAACTCCAATCTTGCAATGGCTTTGTCGCAAGGACTTAAAACCTGAGAACGTGCTTCTGGACAGTCGCGGGCGGGTGCCTCAGAATGCCTGCGGCAAGTTGGGTGATGTGTGCAGTTCTTCATCAGGTGTTGTGTATCATAGCTCAGGTTCTTGAAGCTGACAGACATGGGACTGGCAAAGCTTGTCATCGGGAAGACGTACACTACGCATCGGCCTCAGCAAATTCTGGAAGCTGATTGTAGCTGCCCAGCTCCTTTTAATGGTTGTGGTGTCTTGGAAAGCCAATAGCAGAGCAGCTATGGCCGATTTGCGTGGTGAGGTGTGGCACGTGCGCGGCTGAGTTGAGAGTGAGGGAGACACTTGTTTGTTTTGTTCGATGCTTTAGATGTGGCTGAGCGCCTCCAGGCCAGAGTACTTTGCACCAGAGGCACATGGCTCGGCGAACATGGTGGAGATATTCCAGTCACCCTGGTGTCAACCCCCCTGAAGCTGTAAAGTCTCGCAAGTTGTCCCAAAGCATGAGGTGTACTGTAGGATGTTGTGGTGGCAGTTCATAACCTAGCCACCTGTTGGCTGCAGGTCATTTCGTGGCTCGTCTGCAGCTGGTTTCATTCTCAAGTATTCACAGCTGGTGTTTGTTGAAGGCTGTCTGGCCAAACTCTTGCGGTTGAATCTCGGCGGAAAGATTTCTAAGTCAGTTTAGATCACCAGGACATGAGCCTGGCAGTCCTCAGTGCAAGACTGTGTGCACAAGCACGATGCATCTGGCTATCCTTCTGCGCAGTATGCCACGCCTCATGTCCTGGGAGGCGGGTGTCTACTTATCGGTGCCTGCAAGGGAGTTGGTGGAGGGAAGGTACGGGAAGGACTTTGCGGGAATAGTGAAAAGGATCCGAATCCAATCCTCCACTCCCCATCGAGCACCTGTAAGTCTAACACTGCTTAGGACTGGTGGACACTCGGTGTGTTTCTCTACGAGCTCATGTGGCCAACTCAGAGAGAATGTCCCAAGACAAGCATCCTTGAGTGAAAGCACAGGTGTTTTTGTGATCGTTACAGGGAGCGGGGACCGTACCGGGTTTATCATCACGGAGAAGCTCTTGGGTATGGGCAGACATGCGCAAGATCCAAGGTGTAGCACCACCCCCTTCATGGCGCCGCATCCAATGCAGATCTACGCAAAGGTGCGGTCATGACCAGGAAAGGCCCAGAATGTTTAGGTCTGAACGTTGTTGCACATGTTGCACGAGTCTCTGTACCTAGGCGTGACGCAATCAATCACCCACTTGACGCTGCAGAGTCAGGTGATGAGGGGCATCGACAAAGCCAGCTTCCCAAGCGCCTGCCAAGGCACCATGCGTGAACCCATTTCCCGAAAGTTACATGGAGCACTTTGTAGTCCTCTTTCTGTGTGACAGCAGTCCGTCTACGGATTCCCCGTTTGTTTGGAGAAAGGGTAGTTAGTCCGAATCGTGAGGGTGACAGGAAGCCTAAATGGGATGTTCTGTGGGTAATGCTGGAGTACTAGGATTCTACAATGTTCCGAGTTGCCCTCCAAGCAGCATGGTTAGACTTTGGCCGGGTTTCTGGTGCCCGGCGTTGGGCAGAGACTGTACAGTTGGCTCTTATCAACAGCCTCTTAATGGTGACCAGCGCTTGGTCTGCTGTCTTGACTGGGTTCACGCAAGGAGCCCAACAGGGCACACAGGCCCAAAGCCACAAGCTTTTGACTTGCAGCATGAAGGGCACCCATAGACCAGAAGCTGTGTCAACATCATCGGGATGGATAAGACTGACGCTTGCCCTGTTGTCCTGCAAGCGTTTCGGCGGGTAGAGATGTAAGCTCCATACAGCATAAGCCATTGCAATCCAGTTTAGCTCGTGCAACCTGCCAAAGGCTTCGTGGAGCGATTGATCAAGGCCTTGTCAAGGCTGGCAACAGATTTGTCGAGTTCTGCGTCGTGTTTTTCAACCCCAACTGCACAGTCGCTCAGGAAAGGTAGCCATGTTGTTTTTGGGACGTGTTGCTTGCAGTTGATTGCGGATTTCTGGTTGTCCTGCGCAAAAGTAGACGTGATGGAGGCCACTTCCTGGAGATCGTCTGCCTATGAAAGCAGGTGCTCTGAAGAATCTGCAGGACTTGCTGGGCATATTTGGTGCCAACATTCTTCTGGCAATCGAATACCCCAGCTTGGGAGGAGTGAGGTCTATTTATTTGTGTCTTTTTTGCTCTCTCCATCTCCCGCTTTCTCCCTTCACTGTGTGCACTGCTTGTGGTAATGCTGGTGGTGCTGGTGGTGCTGGCGGCGGTGGCGGCTGCTAGTGCTGGTGGTGGTGGTGGTGGTGGTGGTGGTGGTGCTGCTGCTGCTGCTGCTGGTGCTGCTGCTGGTGCTGCTGCTGGTGCTGCTGCTGGTGCTGCTGCTGTTGCTGGTGCTGCTGCGGAAAATGAGTCTGCTGTTGCATTATGTTGCATTCAGACACGTGCGTATTCTTGCAGTGGGCCACGGCTTGCTGCAGGAGCATGAGTGGTTTGAAGGCTTTGACTGGAATGCTCTGCAGGCTTGCAGACAGTTTTGTTCCTGCAAGGAACAAAGGGTGGCACACAACCTTGAAGCATGGAGACTCTGTGTCGAGCAGAAGTCAGGCTGGTGAGATGCCCCCACCACACATCCCGGACGTGGTGGACGACGAGGCTGGCATGTTTTGTGTCTACATGGTAAATACAGCCTGTGGGACGTAGTCAGCGCCTGCTGAGACAATACCAGTGATGGTGGGCGAATAGTTGCTGCATATTGCTGTTGTAAGACTCATTTACGACAGGCGTGTGGCAGCTGGGATTGGTAGTTGCTTCTCCAGATGGAGATTCTGTGCATAAGCCTAAACACAGCAGGAGTTTAGTCTCTCACTGACTTTTAAGCACCCAATGGTGCAAGACTAGCACAACACACTGGAGAACTCCGTCAGGATTTGTCCAACTTCTTCGCCGATCCACAGGATGCCTGTCACATACGCGGGTGTAGAAATAAGTGTGCTGCAATTTGTGAGCTAGAGACCATCAGATGGTCTCAGTTCTTGCAGTGGGTGGCACGCTAAGAGACCAAAGTCGCCGCAGCGTTCTGCATCCCTCTCGCCTTCTTCGCCCTTTAGCTGCGCCCAAACCTCAAAGCGTGATCAGGATATCCCAGAGCCACCGCTGTACCTAGACCCAGAAGATGGCGTGATCCTCAGTTGTGTAGTGGGTCGGAGAAACATTGGGTTTGCTGAGCTGCGGAATACAAGTTGCCTGCACATGGTACGCCCCACATTTCGGGGTTTGACCCAGCGCCCCCTTTGGTCCTTTGTCTCACACGTTCTGCTGAGGCTGGGATGAGGACTGGGCCACAGTGGAGTGACGACGTCCCAGACTAAGCGTGCCACCCAGCCAAAATTCTACTTCTCCCAGGCTTCTTTTTGTGTAAGGTGATGACGCAGTCAGAGGAGTTTTGGTGATGGGCTCATGACTGGTGAATCGTCTGAAGATCAACCCGCTTGAGTCTCGCATGTAATGCTGCAGAGCGTTGGCGATGGACAGGGCCCAGGCAAACTCTGCAGCCCCGGAGAATTCAATTCAGCGCATGATGGGACAGCAAACGCTGCCTCCCAAGCTGGTTCTCGTAGTGTATCACACCGTACCGCTTAAAGCGGCGAACCGCGAAAAGCAAGCTGGTGGTAAGTGACAGTGACTGTCAGTGACTGTTATTATCAGTGTTGCGGCCTTGTCATAGCATCTTATCTGCTGTCGGGACTCAAACAACAGATACGAACCAGAAGGTGCACAAGAGGCGTTGCAGGCACCTCAACATAGACAGAAGTAATATCGGCAGCTCGTGATTTGTAAGCTGTATACGGTCACAGCTTGGCACTTGGACACCTGCCGCATTGGCTCAAGCGCATCCACTTGTGTCATCTTGTGTCATATCGGCTTCCGCGACAAGGTGCCGGGGAACCTGAGAACCCCAAATCCATGTTACCAGCAAATCACATCTTGATGTACATCATAGTAAACATCTAATAGGAAGGTACGTAGTAAGATCGAAAGAAGTGTCAGAGCTGTGCTCATGCAGTAAAGACCAACAAAAAGATGCTCAGGTTCGCTGTTCTTCTGGTACCCCGAACGCATGCATCCCAGATCCGTAGTAAAAAGCACCTTTCGCGTGGCAAAACCGTCAGACTTGTTTTAATATTTGTTGACTTGAGCGCAAGGCTTGCAGCGGGGCAGACGGCATGAGCAATTCATTGCCGAAGCAGGCGTCAGATTCACCAAATTGTGCTCATGAATTTGCTCTGAGACAGGAGTGCGAATTAAGTGATGGAGCAACTGGTATCATGTTGAGGCCACATGCTCAGGGTGGCTAAGCAGGTCGTTGAATGCAGTCCTGTTACGGCTCAAGGCGCTTGCCTTCAAAGCTGACGACTGACAAGTTCCTCGAGGTCTTGAATCAGATTGCAGAAGGCAAGCCCGCAGACTTGATTGAAGCTGTCCTTCTGTCATGCGCGAACTGCCATAGGATGCTACGACTTCGTGTACGTTCCTCACGACAGGCGCAAGGACAGCAATGTGGCTCTGGCGTTTGTCAATTTCGTGAACCATGAATCAGCACAGACCCTCGGGCGAAGCATGCGAAGCAAAGCAAAGTGTACAAGCACATGTTTGCACCGTGTGAAGGCAAGGTGTTTGCATCTGGTGGCGCACGCATCGTTTCTGCAGACCTTAGTTCTTGTGTTGACCGCTTAGGAAAGCGTTTGCGACATTGCGGGATTGGAAACATCCTGCGCTGGGAGACAACATGAGGGTGTCGCAGGTGCCGCCATCTTCCAGGTTTGACATGGTCATAGTATGACACGTCGAACATCTGTGTTTCCATAAGTGGAATTGTTGTGGGCGCGGTTACCTTTTTCAACGAATGTGCAAATTCTTGGCTTGTAAGAGTGGAAGGGGATTCAGGCGCTCTTTTGAAGACTTCTTTGTGTTTCTGAGGTGGCTTGGACATACCACCATGCCGTCTTCTGCTTTCCCTTGGTCCTTATCTTGCTTTTTCCTTTCAAGTTTGCTGCTTCTTTGTCCAAAGACAACCTATGTCTTCAGAGTTTCTGGAGCCTAGAAGCAAGAGGACCTCCGCTCTTGCAGAACCCAGCTTACCCAAGCCGTCCCAAGATTCCGGATTTTCAGGCCCCTGGGTTCAATTACGGGACTTTTGGCAACCAATAGATTCCCAGAACCCTTCTCAACTACGTGAACCTACACTCAAAATCCTATGAGCCAAATGGCCGCAGCATGCAATTAAACTGCCCGCGAACGGTAGAGTCATCACTCAGGCACAGCTGGCACCAAAACAAAACTCACGTTTTTATGCCTGAGGGATAAGGTTTGCTTGTTTGATGTTGTGATAAGCATGGAAACCTGTGTTTGACGCGGTGTGACTGGGCCTGGTTTGCGATATGGCATCATCTGCCGTACATGCGGTTTTCCACCACTTTTTTTGGCGAGAAAGTGTGGAACGATGACTGCTGTAAAGCCTCATGTAGTGATTTCAAATGTACAGAAACCGTGCATTTGAAATGAGGATTCTCTTTCAGAAGGGCACATCCCCCCTTTTCTGGCATCGGTGCTCGCCTTTTGCACTTCGTGCCGCCGTTTCTAAACCAACTCCATGGAATGATTAAAATGAGCTAGCATTCAACAGATTAACCTGTGTTTGTCCTGGAAACAGGTGATACATATTGCAGCAGGTGTTGGCTACCTTCTTGCCGTATTCTTGCCATTCCAAACCTTGGCGCCATACACCAGACTAGTTGATTAGGGCACCTACAGGCATTTGACAAGAGCTAGACCTCAGTCAATGGGATGTTTACGTACATGTGTCGCTGGAAAAAGGACCATGCGGTCCACCAATCACGTGTGTCTTCGGCGCTTGGACAATGGCACATGAGCACATTACCGAAGGCTTTCTCGTCTGCCTTCCTTGTCATTATTCCAGCGTCAGCCGCAAAATTTCTCGAAATCACGCGAGGCCTCCCATGCTGCAAGAAATTCAGCTTCGGTATGCAGCGTACGTTGCTTAAGCACATTAAGCCACTGTGATACCTCGCGCTGCCGCCCTTCAGCTTCAAACACAGTTGCAGCTCAACTACCACCACCAAGCAAGTGCAACATTTTTCAAGAAATGCAGTATGGCAGTATTGCAGCGACATGTTGTTTCCTTGCTGGGTGGAACTATTGTGGGCTTGATTTGCTGTTCTGACTGCCATGCACTCACTGCCTTAAAAAGATTAGAAAGCCGTAGCAAGTTGAAACTTTAAGCCGAATACCCTGACAGAACAACGTGCTCGGTGACAGGTGGGGGTTTGTGCATACCATAGTCCCAGACGGCGAGGACGTCATGAGGATGCACGCGCGAGACAGAATTTCATGCAGCAACCAAGCTTCTTGAATCCTCCCGTTCCGAATGCAACTTCTACGGTATCGGGTATAATTCCTGTGGTTCCAAGTACAATTCCTACGGTTCCGGGTACATTTTTTGCACGTTTCCGAGCACCGGCTTTTACAGAGAGTGGATCCACACACTTTCAGCTTCGATTTTTTCGCAAGACACGGATCAAAAGAATCATGCATCCCTATGCAAGCAGGGCACTGCATGATGACAACCGTCAAGGCTGTGTTTGGACAAAGTTAGGAATGGTTTCACCAAGCAAATGACAACTGTCATTAAACGCTTAATGCGGAATAAATGCACCCGCGCAACGTTTGAGGCATGGGAGCTTTGCGCCAGCAGTCAAGTCTATGCTTCATCAAGTCAAGTCGCCCGTAGCAGATGATATTTGACATCTGTCCGCCACCACTGCATCAAAAAGGCACATGCGCATGCGTGTCTAATCTTTTGGTGTGCACAGCGCAAGGAGAGTCGGAGAGCCAGCGGAATAACATCCTTTTAACAAAAATCTGTGAGTTTGTCACTCACGAGCGCATGATCCGGCTGGGAGGCTCGTGCGTTGCCTTCAGCACTTTAGTTTCATATTTGCTCGTGAAGTATCATGGAACCCCGGTTCCCAAGGGTTCGCAAGTGACTCCAGGCACCCAGTCAGATCCAGTCAGAACCATTTCCAAGCGTGGCACCAGCCTGTATCTATGCAGACAATGGAAGGCATGTGCTGGCTCCACACCGTTCCGCCACCCATCAAAATAGAGTGTCCCTCAATTTCAGGACAGTGCCAACTGAAAGAGGTCAAAACGCATGCCGCTTGAACTGTGTTTGCTTACCATGCACCTGGAGCCGAGGAAGCGCGGGAACCGCGCGAATGTCAATACATGGCCAAGTCCAGGGAAGGGACTGTTGTGGAGCCCAAGTAAGGAACATGCAAAGTTGTTTATCTGGAAGTTTTCCGTACTCACGGACTCAGTTCAAGCAGATTGCTCAGCAATGTTTGGCATAAATCCCTCACTATTGTTACAAGTATCACTGGACTTTTACTATCATGGTCATCGTTGCTAGTACTACGACCGCTTATTCCTTTATAACTGCTATTGCTACTACGAACGGAATGGAATTCTCTGTTTAGCACCTAAAGTTCTAAAGGTACAAGAGCGATACAATTGACCTGAGAAGCGGAAGTTCCAGTTTCTTGCATGTACTTCCTTGAATTGAATAGAAATTCATGGAATCAGCTGGAGCTTGAGTTCCCTCCTCCCATGCAGAAGGTTGTGTGCTTTTTATTCAGACACATTTTTAGCATCACTATTTGGTGTTGTTTTTTGGGGGCCTCCGCAACAGTCCTCTCTGAAAATCTAAGCGGGTGACAGCGGAAAATGTGCAAGGGACATTGCCATAAATAGTCTAAAAACGCAGCAGGCGGATTTCGGCCTCGAACCTCCAAAACTTATGTACGTGCGCAGGGGTGGAGCTGGTAAATCGGCGGTCACGCCCATCACCTTCAACATAGTTCAATGTGAATGGCATGGGGTACATGAAAATGCATTGGCGATCACCTTTTTTTTCCAGATGATTGCTGTCCTCGGACATGTTGACAAATTCAAGAATGCCACGGTATCTTTTGGTTTCGGAAAGTCCATGGAACTGGTTCCTGTTTCGGGGTGTTTGGAGATAGTGATCGACCACACAGATAAACCAGATGGGTTCCTGATATATGCGCTCCTGTGCGGCTTGGGTTGGATAATCCAACGCCCCCAAAGGACCTGCAGTTCAGTTCATGTAGAACCTGCCTCCACACACTCTGTCTCTCGTTTGCTCGCCCTGTCTGTCTCTTTCTTGGATGACACCGTTGGTAGTTACGTGTCTTTCATCTACAAAATGAGCTGCCTGCATCCTCAGCACAAATTGGTTTGGGTTGGTGAGGCTCTTTTGGTTGGGTGCCTAGCCGGGCCATGACTCTCTGTGCCCAAGCGCTAAAAAGCGCGTCAGAATATCCAATAACCTCAAAGGCCTCAAGCCGTATAGACCCTAACTAGGCCCAACAGGCCACAAGCTTCTTGAAGCCCTGCAAGGCAAAAAGGCTCAAATGATTTGGACTCTGCTGTAAAATGCCTGCAGGCCCCAAACCCCACGAAGCACCACCAAAAAGGTTTTCCATCCTTACAAGCCCTGCAAGCTTTGAGACCCTAAACCCCATAGACCCAAGGCTTTTCAAGTAGCCTAGGCAAGTCGCCCCATATGCACTAAAGCCTACCGTCCTGCCTGGACACGGCGAGGTTTCTATGTGAATATTCAGTGGGTCGACGAACTTAGGGGGCATGTGGGATAGGTGTATATCGGGACCCGAGGATTGTGGCCCATACTATTGCTGGCGGCAATTATGGAAAATCCAACAAAACTTCATGTTAGGTGTTTGGGTTCTGTAGCCCGACACACAGCCATTGACAATTGATCATGCCGAAAGTCTTAACCCTTTGCGTAAGTATGGACTATGGATTCCGAAATCCTATCTTTAGGCGGCGGAGATTGGTCCGGACTGGGGGCCTTGAGGGTCTGTGGGCTTACGGCTGATGAGGTGTTCGGGTTAAAAAAGGGGTTTTGGTTCGAAGGTCTTGAAGCTTGTAGGTAGGCCAACGGTGCCAGAAGGTGCCCTGTCCTCAAAAGCGGTGGTCAGGGGTCGTAGAGCGTGTCTGGCTTCAAAGCTGTATCGTGTGCAGTCCAGGGGTTAGCGGATTTACGTCTGGGGCCATTTAAAAGATGCTTGCGGTGTTCCGGTATATAGGGCTCAGGTTTAGGGCTCAGGGTTTATAGTTTGCAGAGCGCCCGGCCCACAGTGCAGCCTCATTCTGCTGGGTGGGTGGGGGAGGATGATGACCTCGTTCTGCTTTTCATGGAGGGGGATGGGTTGGGAGTATCTCATTCTGCTGGTGGGGGGAGGAGGCTGCAAATCTGGGACGGGCACCAAGTTGGAAATTGGACAGGCTCAAAGCAACGTTTCCGGGATTGGAAGAAGGACAGGCAGTCCAAAAGTCTGCGTCGTCAGCCGCAACATTCGAAAAGGTGGTCGAAACTTTGTCAGACTTTGACCGTCGCAATGCCGGGCGAAGCTGCATCTGATGCTTGTGATCTGCAACCCACCAATGCCTTTGTTTTGGCAGTTGCTTGAAGTCGCCAGGCCGAGATCCAGGGCTTGGAGGACAACCTAGCCTTTTACGTCGCACGGTGCCTTGGTTCAACATCTGTACAAAAAGATAGCTGTAGCCTCCTGGCGTTCGCAGGTTCGGCTTGCAAGAAGTGGAGAATCCGCATGCACCCCGCATCTTCGAAGACGGAAAGCCCAAGCGGCTGCTGGAGGCAGCGCCTTTCCTCCCCACATTTAGGGTAACCTCAAGAGTGGGGCCCGGGGGGGAGCAGCTTCTACATTATAGTTTCGTGGAGACAGCTTCCGGGGTGTTACTACATCAGACACAGCTGATTCAGCTAAGACGCGGGAGGTTCGCGTTTACCCAAATGCAAAGACAGCTCATTCCTGGCCGCAGGCAGTGAAGAAGTATGTCGACATGGAGCTGATTGCTGAGGCCCGCGGCAGAACCCGTGGTTTGCCGGATCGGGTGCATGCCAGGAGCCGGCAGTGCACCTCTCTAATTAAAGATCCCGCTGTCTGAAAAATCCTGGCTAGCTGTTCAGGCCAGCACTCGAATGAAGCCACGCCGGCCGGCCCTCCGAAAGCACGTATGAGAGTCAGCTCGCACAGGCATGCCAATTACTTCGAACTTGTTTGAGGGGTTGTGTTTAGTTACACCTGTGTGTAGAGTTATAGGAAGGGCACTTGCAAGCACAACCCATTTTACGCAGGAGACTTTTATCATGTAACCAAGTCATGACATCCATAACCCCTGCGCTCCTTACACATGCCTACATACCTTTTGATCTTCCCTTTTGACCACCGTTATGCAGTCCCTACAATGAAGCTCCAATGACCTCTCAAGCCTTGCCGGGCCTTGCCGTTTGAGGAGAGGGCTCCGAAGCCAAGGCCCGCTCCTTCGCATTGCGGCATTGCGCACATTGCATGTCAGGAGTTTGTGTAAGGTTGGACGTATGGGCCCTGGCCTGTAAGGGTAGCTATAGAGCACATACTCGGGTATGTAAGGGCCCCAAAATCAAGAGCTCATATGAGGGCCCCATACCTTTCATCCTAGAGATTGCTGGGAGTATGGATACGCCAAGGAGGGCCACTCGTGCGAGTTCCAGTGCTTACAATGGCCTAGAACTTGGAGTGTTCAAGTGCTAGCTGCTGAGTTTCTGACTTCTGCTAATCCTGAGGTTTTCAGCCAGCCTTCCGTGGCTCAGTATGATGTAAGGCTCTGACTTTCGCATATTGCACATATGAACCTCTGCAACCTCAGGCACTGTTTCAATTCAGCGGCACCAGACTTTCGATGCCAGCTTGCCTGTAGATCTTCAAGGCATCAGCCAATGTTCTGTGTCTCTGGGCGCTGGGCGTCGCGCATGAGCTGTGTGCTGTCAGGTGCCTACTCCAAGGAGATGAGAACATCATGGCAGCAAGACATTGTCATCGCAGCATCCCCAGCCCTGTGCTTAGCCAGATACGTTTTAAACTTTAAGAACAGTATGGCGTCCGGCAAGCAGGAGGATGCAGTGCAAGCTTGTAGAAGACCTGGCTGTTCTTTCAACATGTTGCAGCAGCAAGTCTCAGCAACAAAGTGGAGGGCTTCAGACGAACTTGCAATTGGTTCGGGGGAAGCGGGGGAGTGGATCCCTGTAACCACCCCTATAGAATCCCGTCTGTGACGAGGTGAGGGGAAGAAGGTCCTAGCCTGGCCTGCCCGTTCCAGATGCCCGTTGAGCGGAGGTTAAACATGAATTGAATAGTCTCAATGGTATGAATCATTGATCTAAACCGCAGGAGGAACAGCAATAACAGGAACAAACGTATTAACAGAACGCAGTCGAGGGGTAGCTGTCCATGATTCCAGCCATGTACAAGAAACGTCACATTTCAGGGCGCTTGGCCTCAGCCTCCGATGCATCGAGAACAAAGCATCCAATTCCAAGGCCGGAAAAGTTGTCCTGCTTCTTGGAACGCTGTTAAAGACACTTCGCTTTCAAATCCTCCAGGACCCGCACGTATGGGTTATCCATGTGCAACGGCTCCCGTATTCTATACCCAAGCGCCTCAGCCTTCACCTGCAGGGGAGCCCGGATTTTCAGGCTTGCTTGCACCAGTGTTGGACAGCGAAGACTTTTTCAGGTGCCGCAGGCCAATGTCCCCCTGTTCCAGGACCAAGGGTGAGACCGCTCTGTCAGATGTTGGCAGGAATAATCACAAATATTATCCCCATTTATGAAATTCATATCTTCGTATATCCACACTAAGCAGAACGTACCTTCAGACACTTGTGAATAAGTGCACCTAGTGAGCGTGTACAGTGTGTGTCTTTCATGTCTTGCGTATTGTTAACATGCTTGAATTGCACTCCTCTCGCCCGCGAATGGCCCTTCTGAGCCTTGCTCACACTGCGTAAAATCGACGGTCTCAGCCATGGCGGCGGGATCGCTCGGCTTTGAGCACAATCAAGACTTGGAAGCAGGCTTGAGGAAGTGAGGCTCGTCTCGCGGCAGGCGTCGGTTTTGCCAAATTAAGCAATTGGATGACACGGTTGTGGTGTCGGACCCAACCTGCGTCACCTCTTCTTTGACAGTTTTGGCTTGAGTCGGCAAGAGAAACTCGAAGGCTCTGACGGGGGTGCACTCCAGGAGTCATGCGGGCAATGGATCTGCAGTGGAGGATGTGGTAAGCGCCGGAGGCAACAAGTCGTCACGGTCGACAGGCAAAGCGACAAGAAAACACAAGACTATTACAAGAACTTTTTACTTGCATCTTGCATGTGTTGACGACATCCTCAACGAGTACATGGATGATGACCACTACATATATGGCGTGCGCGGACGTCGCGGATGATGCAGATCGGGAAAAGGCCCGGGCGGAAGCGATGTGGTGCTTGATGTGTTTTCCGCGTTCTTGGGACTCAGGACTTTGTACACGGAGCCCCGGATTTCATGGCCCATGCAAACGCCGAAAGAAGCCTAACTTAACAGGAAAGCTTCCGCGTGGCAACCGCCCAGAAAATTTCAGCGTGGTAAAAGGCTGCAGACGCAAGTTGGCCAAAATAAGCGACCAAAGCATGTGTAGAGTGGAAACCAGGGGTCTGTGGAAAAGAATTTTGCAGGCAGTCCCAGGCCTGGGAGAGTGCTACCGGAGATTACCAGAGAGCAGCCTGTCCTCATTGACGCCCACTCGCTCCTCCACCGCGTCCGTAGCATAGCTGTTATGGGCTTGTTTTTAGCCACACGACCCTCGAGAATGCACGGGCTGTTTGGAGTTATGTGGATCATAAGAGCGACGCTCTCGGCTATGATGACATGCGCAAGAGAAGCAAGTCACACTTGGATGTCTTGAGGGAGCATCCGGAGTGGCGCAGCACGCGGAGGCGGGTGAGGTGGACCGTAGCGCTGCTTGAGGTTCAGGATCACACAAGAAGTTGCATGACGTGAGGCTTCGCATCGATCCGAGTACACCGATGTACAGAAGCTTGCATACTTGACATTGTTCCTGAGCAGGGTATTCGGCATTCAACCTTGCCGAGCTCGGGGAGGTCGCAAGGACCCCATATGTGTACCGTCGTCCTGTTCCAGAGCCTTGTCTCCAACCACCTCGAGGGGACCAGGGCTGGTCAGGACCAAGCTAGATTGGGATGTCGTTCTTAGGAGGGGTGATGACGACGTGGTTAGCAAACGTGCAGACAACTAGGCAGGACTTGTGGCCGCAAGTGTGTGGCAAAGGGTACAAATACAACACATAGGGGGACCGGTACGTGAAATACGAAGGCCCGCAGCTTAGTCCGAGGGCGGTGACAGAGTCCAACCGCAGTGATATGAGGCACGATCTCCATGCGATGGGGAAGATCCCGCACATCCGGCCGTGGTTGAGCCATGAGAACTTGACGCAAATCGTTGATGGCGGCGACAGAATGTGACAAACCTGTATAAGCCGTGGCTCCAAACTCCACGAGGGTAAGATGCCCGACCACGTAAACAACTTTCCAAGCATATAGTTGGAGTAGAATGCCAGATCTCCTGAGGAGATGCCGACGAAACGCTTGCATAGGTTCGCAGACGTGGCGTGGAAATTCCCTGCAGCGGATATGCTGTCTGACAGTTGGCAACTCTTCAGAGAAGCCGACATGCTTCTCAGATGTTGCGTGTTTTGGCCTCACCATCCTGAGGGTCTGACTGCAAGCATGGCAATACTGGTCAGTTCGTGCGCGAGAGTATTCTAGGTTCGTGAAAGAACCTCAGCTCCCATGACGCGATGTGACGAGACAAATGCTGTCTTGATACGGTTAGAGGACTTGGCTGCAAGATGATAAACGCCAGAATGTGTAATTCTACGTGATGGCGAAGAGCAATTTCCAAAAAGTCCTTCGAGCGGGACTAGTGGAAGGGTCGTTGTGCGCCGCCCGGGCCATGAGATATCAGTTTTGGAGTTCATCGGGTGGCAACATTGGTCATGAATGATTCCATTTCCGAGTACCTCACGGTCTTTCTGTAGAATGCCAGTCTTGGCTAGAGGATTTGTTTTCTGCGGGCACACGAAATGCCGGTCCTTGACAGCTTGGCAAGTTGTGTATTGTCTAGAGGACGGTGAATGTCTTGTTGCCAAGCTAAAAGCTGAAGGTGACGTGTGTCTTGCTACAGGGTCGCGAGCGTTGGGTGAACTGGGCAGGCCAGGACCATGACATACATTATCACAGCGTGCGCGCTGACATTGTAAGAAGCAAGCGCGATTTTGCAGAGTGTGTTGTTTGTTTCCTCTTGGCTAGGGATTGCGAGTGGGTGAGCACACTGTCTACCGGATTTGGATGATGATGACTTAGCTGCTGAGGCAGATTTTGTGGACACGTGCAGAATGCATCAGACAACACTTGCGAAAATGAACGGAACCCATGGGAGGGGTACAGCGCCAGCAGCTGGAAGAGCTGATCCATGATGGGCATCAGGTGCTTTCCACAGTGAGGCAGCTGATACGCAGCAGCTGTCTCAATTGCGCCATGACTGGTAGTACGAATGGATCTCGAACAAGGAGACCCAAGATCGGATAGTCCGTCTGGAAGCATTGAAGTTCAGAACCTCGTGCTCCCATTTGTAGCTTCAACATGACTGAAGGTTTGCAGTCGTGACGTAACTAAGGCCGATAATTTCAACGCGAACAGATGGATAGGGTACCTGTACTATAGCAGCACAAGGCAACCCGGCACGAAGCCTGACGAGCACTTGCTAGCTCGCGCCCCATACTACAAATTTTGGACGCCGCTCAGAGCCATCTCCAAACGAGAGCCGTGCATGCCGTGCTGCAGTTAGGTGGGCTTGTAAGGAGTTATACACATAGCAGTAAAATCCCATATGAATTGATTGGCCGCTTCAATTGTGGCACTGTCGAGAACGACGGCTTCACGTAACGTGGAAAGGAGATTTGGGAAGATGAAGGTTCTGATACACGTTGAGATCCACGTGTCGTGTGCCGTGTTCAGACAGCACAGCACACGTTGTACAGTGAAGATGCCCATAGCACCAAAACGGCATT